AAATAAGACTCAGGGAATGCAATTCAAGTGTTCTGTGGCTGGGTAGTGTTTAATCACACTCACATTTAAAAGCAATGAGAAAAAAATACATTACAAAACCACAGATATGAATAATTAGGAAAACATCTATTTGGGAAGTCTCTAAAGTGAAGCTGTCCTTGAACAGCAACAATAAAAGCAAAGAAAAAGGGAGTTTGAAAGTGTGTTTGGAAATATTCTGAAGGAAAAATACTTGACTGTAAAATTGACTTTTTAGAAATTTAGAAGTGTTCTAGTTTTGGTTGCTGTGATTTGGTTTTAAATGATATTCATTCGCACATTCAGGAAAACAGCAGTTAAAAACAACATACTAATTAACTACTTATTGTACACTAAGCTCAGGGGGAATTCTTTATATATATCAGTCCCATTTAATCCCTATGAGGTAGAGATCACTGTTATATCCCCACTTTGAAGATCAGGAGACCACAATTTAGGTTAATTGAACTGCCCAAATTCATACCTAATGAGAGTCCTGGTGTGGCACTGTAGATTAATATGCTGGATCTCAAAGTTGGCTTGAACTACAAGGTTGGCTGTTCAAGCTCACCAGCCGCACCTTGAAAACTTTCTAAAGGGTTGCTATGGGTTGGAACCGACTTGATGGCACTTAACAACAAGTAGTAAAAATGGGACTTGCACTTGAGTTTTTTCACTACTTGGTTTGCACTCCTACCCACTATACTGGTATAGATACTGAACACTTATCAGCCATTACATTTCTATGAAATCATAAATGGAAACCCAAAAATGAGAAATATTAAGTCATCTCTTCTAGTTATGTATGTATGGCTATTTATATTAATAGACCGGGTACAGATGTAGAATCATAGAAGATTCACAAGTAAGAGCTCATTCACAGACACTGATACTCTTGTTTTCTCCTTAATTATTTTCCACTGTATTTGTCTCTGTGATTCTCAGTGTGTGGACTCTGAGTCATGATGGAGATCAATGACTGTAACCTCAGTTTCATTAACTAAAACTGAAGTTTCAAGTTTCAGATCCAAGTCATCTGGAAAAAGATAGTGAAAGTCACAATTAGAATGGACAGCAGCAAAAAGGGATGGACTGGGAAAGACAAGGGATTCATTTGCTGTTGAGTCAGTTCAGACTCATGGCAAACCCACGTGTGTCAGAGGAGAACTGTGCTCTAGAGGGGTTTGTTTCAATGGCTGTTTTTTCTAAAGTAGTTTACTAGGCCTTTCTTCAGAGGTGCCTCTGGATGAACTTGAACTGCCAACCTTTTGGTTAGCAGCTGAGCATGTGAACTGTTTGTACCACACAGGAACTCCATAAGGGACATTTATTATTATGAGTTCCTGTCAAGTAGGTTCTGACTCACAGGGACAGTAGGTTCAAAAAAAGAAAACACTGTCCCTGCACCATCCTCACAAATATTGTTACGTTTGAGCCCATTGTTGTTGCCACTGTATCAGTCCATCTTGTTGAGGGCCTTCCTCTTTTTTGCTGACCTTCTACTTTATCAAGCATGATGTCCTTCTTCAGGGACTGGTCCTTACTGACAATACATTCAAAGTATGAGAGCCAAAGTCTTGCCATCCCTGTAGCTTCCAAGAAACAATCTGGCTGGATTTTACCAAATGCCTCATTTCTTCTTTAGTCTCCCTTACTCATTGTCTGACTTTTGCATGCATATGAGGCAACTGAAAATACCATGGTTTCAGTCAGGTGCACCTTAATCCTCAAAGTGACAAGGGACATTATTAGACTTTTCAAAATACAGCTGCTTTTCCAACTAGGACAGTGCCTCTTTAGAGCAACGAGTTAGTGCTTTCTGGATGATGGACATATGTGGATGTATTCACCGAACTGTGAGTGGCTCTATCATTTATGTCACATTGACATTTTACCACAAGGCAAACTTAGAATTTCCAGAAAAAGTGCCCATAACCATTTGCCCAATTTTAAATTACAGGTCAAATTAGACACGCGAACTAAATCCATGTCCTCTTATTACTATGATTTTGAGGTCATATTACAAGACTCTGCCCATCCCATGCCCAAAGATAGATGTGGGCATGGCTGTTATTCCTCTGGTGCATGGCAACAGAGCTCTCTTGGTTCCCTACACAGGGCTGGAGAACCGGTGCCATCAAATAATCTGTAGCATCGTGTTGGAGGCATCACATAGAAGCCTACTGAACTTGACTTTTTGCCTCAGACATCTTATTAAACCACATATATGTAAGCTGGAGTCCTGGTGTAGCACTGTAGAGTAAGCATTGAACTGCTAACTGTGGTTCAAACTCACCAACTGCTCCTCAGAAACCCTCCACAGGGTCACTATGAGTTGGAACAGACTCAACAGCATAAAACAATCACAACCTATGTAAGTTATGTTTATTCTTTATTAAATGACTTAATCATTCAATATTAGCAGTTGCTAACCTAGGAAAGTTCTCCTGGTGTGGTGCTGTGGGTTAACATGCTGGAATGCAAGGTCATTTGAACTGCAAAGTCGGCAGTTCAAGCTCACCAGCTGCTAATTGGAAACCCTATACAGGGTCGCTATGGGTCAGAACTGACTGGATGGCACTTAAAAACAACAACCTAGGAAAGGGGTTCTGGCATGATACAGTAAGAAAAGCACTGGACTGCTAACTGCAAAGTAGGCCATTCAGAAACCCTATACGGGGTTACTATAGGTTGGAACTGACGCGACGGCACCTAACAACACTGATGAGAGAGAAAAAGGTTCCGAATTATTATTTTTTTTCTTTTACAAATATGAAGCTGACAGGTGTGCAGGTATCATCTGAAACTCGCTTATGAATTCTTCCCTGGAAAGACCTCTCTGTGTTGTTTGGCTCAAGTTGGTCCACCAGGTTCTTGGCTACTGCAGCCGTTTGCTAACTGTGGTGTGCATCAGAATCACCTGGTGGGCTGGTTAAAATACAGACAACCCTTCAGCAATTTCTGACTGAAGTGGGGCCTGAGAATTTGCATTTTAAACAAGTTCCTGGGTGATGGTGATGCTGGGCCAGTACCTGCAATCTCAGAACCACTGGTTCAGTATTTACATTTGTTTAGCACCCTAGATTTGGGCTCTTCCTCAGCCCGTACTGCTGTGAAGATGTTCACCTGAGCACTCACGCAGTGGGAAAACCACACCAGGCAGCCATTGCTTTGCACCAAGCATGGCTTAAATGGATTGTTCTTGCTGCTGCTGCGTCAATTTCAGCTCATAGTGACCCTGCATAGGGTTTCTGAGGCTGCAAATCTTGATGGGAGCAGAAAGCCTCATCTTTTTCGCATGGAGTCTATGGTGAATTGAAATTGTTGGCCTTCCAGTTAGCAGTGTTACATGTAACCCACTATGCTACCAGGACTCTTGTGTTTCAAGGAGTGTCTGCATTCATCAGAGATGACTTTTGCCTTTCGAGCCAATTTATAGGATCCTATGGATGTATCCTGGTCTGTGGGTCATTCCTAACATTCCTCTGTGGCTTGCTTTCCATGCCCCCCCACCCCCAAATCTTATCAGAACGTATTGAGAGTGAAAACATTGCAGGAATAACTGAGCCTTGAATTATCCCTGCTTTATAAAAAATGCAAATTATTTGCAAGCCTTGGTATTTTAACTGTTAGGAATGACTTAGATCATAGCTCACGAGTAAATGACACAGAAGTTGAAAATTGGTGCTTCAAAGAATGCTCCTTCCTAAAAACAAAAGACACACATACACAACAGCTGACAAACATCAGTTCTAATAAATCAATGTGTTTACAATGGGGCTTCCAAGGTTAGTGGAAAAAATGGAATGGAAAGGTAGTGTGTTTTTCCACGAACTTTTTGAAGCCCCTTTCTACATGCCAGTGAGCCTGTAGAAGCAGGAAAGAGTGAAAGAAGATATAAACATAAAAGGTATTATATAATTTATTAAGTACTGGCAACTTTATTTAAACACAAAAGCACCATTCTCAGATGATGAAACCAAGGTGAACGGATGCTATCTAACCATGGTCATGGTTTTCCAAGTGGCAAATCTAGAACCATACCATGTGCTCCAAAATGTTACAACTCATTTCAATGTACTGTAAAATCCCAAAATGAAGCATTTTCAAATGTTGTTTCACTTAGATGATGGATCCAATCACAACTGATGTTTGAGGGGGGAAGGGGGAACGCATGGCTCTGCTTATAAAAACCAAAGCAGGTCAACAACCAGTTTAACCCATTTATAACCTCTTCTGCTTTTTTGAACACTATTCAGTGTTTTACAGTACGCCTTTACATTAGCTTAACCTGTACACCCCAATTCAAAGAAATTTTGTATAGTCCAATAAATGTTTTTTGAGGTTTATATTCATTTACACTCTGTTGTTAAGTGCCACGGAGTTGGTTCCAACGCATAGTGATCCTGTACAGGGTTTCCAAGGCTGTAAATCTTTACAGGAGCAGAAAGCCTCATCTTTCTCCCACAGAACAGCTGGTAGTTTCAAATTGCTGACCTTGAGGTACGCAGCCTGATTCATAACCACTACGCTATCAGAGCTCCTTATTTACATTCTAGAGACAATGAATTTCTGAGCCTTGCTTTTCATGAGTTAGTGAGGGGAAAGAGTTCAGGATATTTGCTCCTCATTTTCTAAATCACCTGGAACTAAGATTCTAGGAAATGTAGGAAGGAAGAAAGTGTAGTGCAGGCAACAGAGGACCCCAGTGTGTTGTCCTGCCTTACTCTTCCAGTCACTGGAAGTCTGGGGAACTTCAGGTGAAGATGACAGGTGCAGGGAAGTGTGGGTGAAGAAAATTTATTTTCTCAAATAAATGTCAGTAAATATAAGTGAAAATGAGGACTCCTATTTGTGGTGAAAGTACATGTAGATTCAAGACCTAAATGAAATGAATGGGTAAGTAACATATTTAAAAAGTCAACCTTGTAAGCCTTCTCTTTCTTTCTTTTTTTTTTTTAAGGACAAGATAGAAGAACAAAATGACCAATATACTCTTTTGGCTGATACTTTTCACACCTGCATGGACTCTCATTGATGAATCTGAACTGGACCCGGATTTTATGTGGCACTTGAGAAAAATACCCCGGGTGGTCAATGAAAGGACTTCCTATCTGACCAGTCCCACCTTTGAGGCAGATGCTAAGATGGTGGTAAGCAGAGCGTGTGGCATCGAATGTCAGAAAGAACTCCCAGCCACCAACCTTTCGGAACTAGAGGATTCCCTTTCGTATGAGACAGTGTTTGAGAATGGCACTCGAACCTTGACCAGAGTGAAAGTTCAAGATTTGGTCCTTGAGCCGACTCAAAATTTCACTACGAATGGAGCATCTGTTAGGAGAAAGAGACAGGTATATGGCACAGACAGTAGGTTCAGCATCCTGGACAAAAGATTCTTAACTAATTTCCCTTTCAATACAGCTGTGAAGCTCTCCACTGGTTGCAGTGGTGTTCTGGTTTCCCCTAATCATGTTTTAACAGCTGCCCACTGTGTTCATGATGGAAAGGACTATATCAAAGGGAGTAGAAAGCTAAGGGTAGGATTGTTGAAGATGAGAAATAAAGGTAGTGGCAAGAAACATAGAGGTTCTAAGAGGAGCAGGAGAGAAGCTAATAGTGGCAATCGAAAGGAGGGCACTAAAGAGAATCTGAAGGAGCGAGGTGAGGTTGGAAGAAGAAGAAAAAAACTTGGTCGGGGTCAGAGAGTTGGTGAGGGGAGGCTCTCCTTCCAGTGGACTCGGGTCAAGAACACCCACATTCCAAAAGGATGGGCAAGAGGAAGGACGGGATATGCTGCCTTGGACTATGATTATGCTCTTCTAGAGCTGAAACGCGCTCACAAAAAGAAATACATGGAACTAGGGGTCAGTCCAACCCTCAAGAAGATGCCAGGTGGAATGATTCACTTCTCAGGATTTGATAATGACAGGGATGATCAGTTGGTCTACCGGTTTTGTAGTGTGTCTGATGAATCCAATGATCTCTTCTATCAATACTGTGATGCAGAGTCAGGCTCTACTGGCTCTGGGGTCTACCTGCGTCTGAAAGAACCAGACAAAAAAAGTTGGAAGCGCAAAATCATTGCTGTCTATTCAGGCCACCAGTGGGTGGATGTTCATGGTGTGCAGAAGGACTACAATGTGGCTGTACGCATCACGCCCCTCAAGTATGCTCAGATTTGCCTCTGGATTCATGGGAATGATGCCAATTGTACTTATGGCTAGCAGCAACCTGAAATGAGACAATGTATTACCCAAATTGCATAGAAATACAGATTTGATCGTTGTTGCAGTATCTCCTTCCCATAATCTTAGGGGATTAGGCCTGGACTTGAACCTATAAAAAGCACTTCAGCATTTTTACAAATCTATGCTCTCAAAATTAGTATTAGATTTATATACATCTAAAAACATTTTTAGGTTCAGATATTGGAACTTGAATGCCAAGTTTTGTTTACATGGTAATGTTTCCTTTCTGGAAAAATTTTTGTTTCCTTCTGAGTTTTTAAAATTTAGCTACTCTAATGCTTCAAACTAGTACTATAGTTAGTATGTGATTTTTAAATTGACTTATTCTCTGGGTCCTACTCTAAGAGGATCTTAATAGGAGGCATACTAAATATGAAACTGCATACAGAGAGGTAGAGAGTAATACGATTAGCATCCAATTCAAGATAATAATCGACATGCCACGTTTTCTCTGAGATGGGCCCATTCAGCTCATGCTCTCAGTGTTTATATTGAGCTGTTAGGTATGAGGAACTGCATTATTCCTTTTTTTGTGTGTAAGATTTATACATCAGAAGGAAGAAAAAACTTTAAACACCAAACAATTTCACAGTTTTAACAAACATCAAATGAAATGTATAATATTTAACAATTGATAGACATACTTTGTTATCTGACATCATTATAGTTTGAAAAAAGGGAAGCTTGCCATTTTAAGATCTTAAGTTTTTATTTAAATAATATCCAGAACTAGAACTTTTCATGTACGCATAGTAAAGATAGTAAAAAAGTTATGGATGATCATGTATTGAAAATCATATCATTTTATGTTACCCACCTCACTATGTGTACTGTGAGATTCTGTTTTTATAGACAAAAAATCTATAGTCTTCTAAAAAAGAGTCGTTGTTCCCCCCTCCCCCCAACAAACTTTCTTTATAGGCCATTGTTGTTGTTGTTAAGTGCCATCGAGTCGGTTCCGACCCATAGCGACCCTGCACAGGGTTTCCGAGGGTGTAAATCCTTACGGGAGTAGAAAGCCTCATCTTTCTCCCGCGGAGCGGCTGGTAGTTTCGAACCGCTGACCTTAAGGTTCGCAGTCCAATTCGTAACCACTACGCTACCAGAGCTATAGGCCATAGGCATATTATTTTGGCAAATTCTCTAGTGAGCAGTTTTAGATCAAATTTCCTAAAAATGAATATAATTTAGCAATATGATTTTTAAGAGAAGCTTCTGATAATTTTCACTGAGGACAAAGGCTGCACATCCACTCTATCTAGGATCATATAGCCCAGTGGCTGTCCTGGGGCAAAACGGAGTAGACATTCAGTAGACATTTCTTAAGTGTACAAGTATTTTCTGACTGAATATTAAAGGAGATTCATTCGTGGCATTATGCTTAATGTGTTTAGTGATTTGTAATTGAGTGTACCTTAAAGTTCAAAAATTTCAGGCCTGATTTCTGGAAGATTCTATGGCACACACATTCTCTTCTATGGTGGCTTAGGTAAGTCACCGATTTATACCGGAGATAAAAGTTATTTGAATTACTATTGTTTTTAAGAATAGGAAATTATACCCTTGGATATTTTATTAGGTAATAATAAAAATGATTTTGTGACTGGTGTCTGCAATAACTGAAATCCAATATAAGTACACATTGTTTTATAATGTGAATCTGTTCAAAATGATTCAATAAAATTTTTTTAAAAAGAAATTAGTTTTAACTCTTACTATATCTGTGTTTTATAGAATTTCCCATTTAGTGCTCGTTGTTGATGGTGTTAAGTGCCAACAAATCAGTTCCAACTCATAGCGACCCTATGTAGGACATCTGAGGATCAGTTGGTGGGTTTGAAATGCTGACCTTGTGGTTAGCCGCCCAGTGTTTTTCCTACAGCACCACACTGGGACTTAGAAAGTATTAAATTAACTGCATCATTTATAAAACATAATTCTACTGAATTCAAGCACATTTTTCATTGAGTAGTACTTTATCATTGTGGCTAATGTTTTGGTCCAATTTTGGGGGGGAGTGGTAGGTGAAACATCTTTACAATCAATGTAACCTATATTTTTTCAAGGTGAATTTAACACAACACACACACACACAGACACACACAGAGCTAAATGGATCTATCTATATTTCTGGAGAAAGACATCATTCTTATTAAAGTGTAGGGTCAAAGATAAAGAGGAAGACCCACCACAAGATGGATTAGCATAATAGTAGCAGCAATGGGCTCAAGCTTAGCAATGATTGTATGGACAGGGCAGAACCAGGCAGTGATTTGTTCTGTTGTCCATAAAGTCTCTATGAGTCGGAACTGACTTGATGGCAGTGAACAACAGCAACACATGGACATGGTATAGCTAAAAACACGGGCTTTTTTTATTGTTATTGTTTTTTCAGAACTGCCCATTAAGGAGTTACCTCTTCTCAGGTAAGCAGTTTATGGACATTCTGAGTAACCCCTGGAGTACCTGAGCCTTCTGGAAAGTAATGAGAAGCCCCTTCTAGTTCTTAGGCCCTTTACCTTACTAGTGACTTCCCTTTCATTAGTTGACAGAAATCAAGATTTTGAGATTGTTTTGCTTTACTTAGCATTTAACCAACTTTTACTGATCTAGGCTCCAGATCACAAAACAACATAATCCTCAGGATATAGATAAAAGGATGTACTTGTCCACAAAGAAGAAAAGTGGCAAGACATGGTATTTTTCTCCTCAAAACTACTTTACATGCATTAGTTATGAGAAAACTTTGCAGTTAAACAATTTTAGAAAATTCAACTTACAACTTTAAACAAATTTTTTTAAGAAAGAAATACTTCAAAAATGTTTATTATTTACTTTTTTTGTTCTGTTAAGAATCAGAATGTGCTTAGTGCCAATTTTCTGATGTCAAACCAAAGTACCACTTTATCAAGCCATTTATTAAAAAGAAAAGTGTGGTATTTTTGAGATAGAACTGAATTTAGTATTCTGCCCTGCACTTGGAACATTTACTTTAAAGGCCTCCTTTGTGGCCTGGGAGAATAAGCGAGACCATTGTGCCTAGCCAATGGGCAGTTGTGCCACATCATACAGCCCAGTACATGACCGCTGTGGCCTCCTGAGCACAGGCCCTTGGCAGTCGTTGCCCACACACAGCAGCACCTCTCTCCTGTAAATAGCGCTAAGTGAAAGGCTGGCTGTCAGTGATGCCATAGGGACCACCTTTTTAGGACTAGTAACTAAATGTCTCAATTTCTTAGACTAGATGAAACAAAATACTCTGTGGCTTTCCTATTTTGAAGAATTTAGATTTTTGTTTTGTTTTGGCTGAGATCATCTATAACTTTCAAACTGGGCTGCGCTTATAATATTTCGGTGGTTTTCCTTAGCCATAGTTCCTAAATTTGACTGACTTGCCAAGGAATTGTTTTGTAAATCTAGTTTCTAGGACCATGCCAAGACCTACCCTAGAATCTCTGAGGGTAGGGCCTAGAAATCGATATATAATAAAGTTTTCCAAATAAGGAAGATCGTAAAGGAATTGATGCCTTTGAGTTGTGGTGTTGGAGGAGAATACTGAAAGTGCCATGGACTGCCAAAAGAACCAATAGATCTGTTTTGGAAGAAGTGCAGCCAGAGTGCTCCTTGGAGGCCAGGATGGCTAAGCTTTGTCTCTCATACTTTGGACATATTGTCTGGAGGGAGCAGTCGCTGGAGAAGGATGTCATGCTGGGTAAGGTGGAGGGTCAGAGAAAAAGAGGATGACCCCCAACGAGATGGATTGGCCAGGTGGCATCATTGATGGCGTCAAGTGTGGCAGCGGTAGTGAGGTTGGCCCAGGATCGGACATTGTTTCGTTCTGCTGTGCACGGGGTTGCTATGAGTTGGTTTCGACTCGATGGCACCTGACAACAACAATGATGATTAGGCTTGTGAACCACTGTCTTTGCCTATATTTCCTAAAATAATTATTTTCCTCTCCATGACAGTTCATCATTTTCTCCTGGGTTAAATGTTTTCTCCACTTTATCTGCCTTTACATATTTTTTTCTCATAAACTTTCTGGTATATTTTGGGGAAGAAGATGTTATTGTTGTTATTAGGTGTCCTAGAATTGGTTCTGACCCTATGCACAACAGAACGAAACACTTCCTGATTCTGTGCCATCCTCACAATTGTGATGTTGCTGCCACTGTGTCAGCTCATCTTATTGGGGGTCTTCCTCTTTTTCAGGGATCCTTCACTTTATAAAGCATGATGCTCTTCTCCAGGCACAGTCCTTCCTGCCAACACGTATGAGAGGCAGAGTCTAACCTCTTTGCTTCCCAGCAGCATTCTGACTGCACTTCTTTCAAAGACAGATTTAATGTTGTTGTTTTTGGCAGTCTAATATTCTTTGTCAACACCATAACTCAAATGCATTGATTCTTCTAGTCTTCTTTATTCCTTTCACATGTATATGAGGTGATCTGTCTTTTTCTTCTAGGTTAAATGTTTTCTGTATTTTACTTGCCCTTACATATTTTTCTTCTCATAAACATCCTCATATACTTTAGAGAAAAAAGTGGTGGTAAAATTATCACATATAAAAATGATATCCTCTTCAATATTTTTATAAAATGAGAATACATTTTAGCATTGTCCCAATACTGCTTTACTATGGTAAACATTATTTAAATAAAAAATTCCTGAACACACTATTATGTGATCACTTTATAATCAACAACAGAATCTAGTCATATTTATTTCCTGGAAATTAGACATCTTTATTTGTTTTTCTACTCATAATTCACCCTATAAGATCAATTAAATATAGTTCAACAAAATTACTGAGTCCTGTGTTAGGAGGCTAGGATATGGCGTTATTTAAGATCTAGGTTCTTTCTTTTCTCAAAGAATTTACAATTAGTAAGGAACTTACCATTAGAATAGGGAGAAAAAGGTGAAGTATAAGGCACTAAAGAATATATATATAAGAGGCATCAACTCTATTAAGG